ATGTGATGGCTAATGGGAGGATGAAATTGTTCATTCCATGTACTGGCAGTGGGTACATTTCCCTCCACATGGTTGATCTCACAGGGTCAGTTTGTTGGCCATAAGGACCTTGCTCTCCTATTAAGATGAGCTACTTGGTTTTTGGTTCTGCGGGCTGTATGTTTGTAGCAAGAATTGAATAATAGGTAAGCTGAAGTCGGTCGTTTTATTGATTGAAGAGTTGTTTCATGAGTGAACAGTATTTTTTGGTTATATTGTGAATAACATTATTTTATAATTAGAATTTAACTTCATTGGAAAATTCATTTGTTTCCAACACACTGAATGTTGTTTCAAAGTGAGTTTTTATAATTAGAATTTAATTTCATTGGAAAATTAACTTGTTTCCAACATACTGAATGTTGTCTCAAAGTGAGTTTTTAAGCGGGAAATTTAAGTTTTGTAAGTTTTTTTCTTAATCTGAGTCCCCGCTTCCTCCGTGAAGTTAAGTTTATAGTTTCTAAATTTATTATTTAGTATGCCCTGAATTGTAGAGCCTGTTTGCGAAACAGCAATGCTAGAATTGTGTGCAACAGTACTGATATATACATTCTAATATCTGTTCTAACAATAGCTTATCACCCAGGAAAAAAAAATCAGGCACAACTTGTCAAGCATGATGTAATAATGGTGTCAATTTGTACATGTTCTTGTTTGAAATAGCTACAGTTTTGTTTTATTGAATTCTGTGTCATTGTTGTATTTTTTTTTTTTAATAAATCCTGTCAACATTCTTTAACTGCTATACAATGTGAACAGGTAATGTTTGAGAGAATGAGGTTGGAAAGGGAAGAAGGCATAGAAAGCGAAAAGAGTGTCCCTGAACCTACAAGGCAGACTGAGATTCCGCCATTCGTAGATCCTTCTGTACAAACCACGGCCACCAGAAGCACAGGAAGTACAGAAGAGGAGAGAGTGATCAGGTTAAGGATTGTTAGATTGAAAGAGAGGCTCAAGAAATTAAATTCATACTCGTCCTTGCTTAATATCTTGACCCTTATGGCTCTTACGTGGCACTTGGTCTACCTTAGCCAACGCCTTAATATGACCTGTTGAGCAAGGACATTTAGGCAGTAGAATGGGATTGTTAGTCATGGTCTGTAATTGATGGTAGAGGTCTTGTAGGTTTTCTTGGTTTCATAAACATATAGTTAAGAATGCGGATTTAGTTTTGATATGATGTTAATTTCACTGAATGTTGTTTCAAATGATGACAGAAATGTTGGACATCCATAGGCAATGCTGCAATGTAGAAAGACTATTTTTGTAACCTAAACTATTTCAACACTGATTGCAACTAGGAATTGCAACTACTTTTGACAAAAAAGATTTATCAATTCTATTCTGGATACGTCAGAAAATTCCACAAAATGCCTGCAGTTGTTGTTGTTGCGGGGTCTAATATTATGCAAAGCAACCAGTAATTTTAGAGGAGCAGATTGCATCGGTATACCAGACCATTTTATAGGGAAGAGCTGTGGAGTTGTAAGAAATTCAATGAGAATGGTATGATTCTTGGGTGGGGAGGAAGGGGTTATGCATCCTAAAGTTGATTGGGATATTTATTTTATAAATTATTCAGGAAAATATTAGGCATATTTACTTTTTTTCTTAATGAACCTTTCGTTCAGAAAGATTATAGTCGCTATAGAAGTAAAAAATTACAAATTACTTGTTGCTTAAAAGTTAATTTTGTTTCTACAATTTCTTCATAGAAATTTTAATATAAAGCAATAAGATTTACAAAATCTGTTAATTTTATCTCCACTTTTAGAATATTTAAGAATGACTAGCAATTATTTATAAAAGTGACTTAACAATTTCTTCATAGCAGTTTAACATAATCAAATCTGTTAATTTTTATTTCAAAAAAAATAAAATAAAAATCTGTTAATTTTATCTGCGCTCTCAGAATATTTAAAAATGACTAGCAATTATTTCAAACACAAATGCAGTCAAACATAAATGCAGTAAGAGTCTAGCTGTAAGTCCGCATACTGGAGGTGCACAACCACTTGAGTCGGCGGGAGGTGTACGTGATATTTCCTACTAGAAAGTATGTAACACTGTCGAGTAGAAAACTAAAAATTTTAAAAACAGTGGCAGAAGGGGTCTGTGTGGACTATGTTGGTTGGTTGTCTGACGTACATGACTAACGCATCTGATGTGTAAAAATCAGATCATATAACTAAAGTCCTCACAATATAATCTCTGAAAGAATTTCATGACCCCTTGCTTTAGTTGTTTATTACCCTTCACTAACCGGTCATCTTATCTCAAATCTCCTGTGGTAAATTTATGGGTTTCTATCCCCTTCTGTAACCTAAACTAAAACTATAAACTTCAAATAATAATTAATTTTTTTTAGACGTTTATATGTATATATGAATATTATGTATTATAATAAAAAAAAATACAATAAATTTTGTATGGAAAACTAACGTTTACCCAAGCATGATAATTATCGATTATATAAAAGATTAGAGCTAACAAAAATATAAACCATACTTCTTTTTACGTAGCATAGTCCAGAGACACATCAAAAAATAACATATTACAAAAAAAAAAAATAGCATATGGCTTGTGGTCTACAGCTTTTGGGCTTTCTAGGATATAAGAGGGTCATGGCTAGCTCTATAAAGAGAGAAATATGGGCGTGTAAGAGTATAGCGATAAGGAAAAAAAGGTTTTGGGTCTGGGTGGTTTGGAGATAAATGAATATGAGAGTTTTTGAGGGTGTGGAAAAGAGCATCGAGAAGATTAGAGAGAAATATTTCTAATTTCTTGGCATGTTGATTTTGAAATAACAATTGTATTCCATAAAGAACTTAGGTCAACTAATTGATACATTTACTAATATGTCAAATTTTTTACATGGGTTTTTGCACCTCCTTAGTGCATGTAATTAATACAATTTATACTTTTTATTTAAAATGTACAAACATAAAAAAGAAATAGTATTTTTCTTCTTATAAATATAGTATATGAAAAAAAAAGCAAAAGAAGCAAATTCTAATTTCTGTAGTAAAAAAAAAGCAAGAGAAGCAAATTCTAATTTCTGTAGTTCCATCATCATATTCCTATTCAACTAGCTAAATGAAACTGTATCGTGAAAAACAACAACAAAATGGGGAGAGCAATAACAACATAATGCAGAAGAGTATACACCATGCAATAGATTTATCTACAAAATCACATCCCCGTAACATTTCCTTTAAGCTCTCTCTGAGCTACCTTTTCTAGATAAGAGGGTCATACCACTGATCCACAGCTAAGTTGAAGAACTACCTCCATGCCGAAAATAGAGTACTGACCGATATAAAGCAGCAATATGGAGAAAAAAGACCAAGATTATGAGGAGATCATCCAAGAGACCAACTATCCCCAGTATTCCTGTTGGCAGGAAAGGAAAACAACATGATGTTACTTATTAAGTCAAGCCAGAGTAGATGACAACAAAATGCAAGAAAGATTACCTTCTGGAATTATATCTACTGGACTAAGTACATAAACTGCACTTAGCATCATCTGCACGTAAGTTAAAAGATCTCAAATACTCATCAATGCAACTTATTGCGATAAAAAGACATTATATCTAATGCTGATACATTTGTCAGAGGCAAACTACTGAAGAGATCAGTCTAACAAACTTTCATGTCATGTGTCAAAGATCAAAAGTAAACAACAATATACACAGTTTCTATAAACTATTAAATCAGACCAAGGGCAGAAATCTTTTTTGTTAGATGAAGGATTAAAACCTTCCCACTTTTTGATAGCCCCCTAATTCAACAAAACATATGCCTCAACAATGCTGGTAGCTTAAAGCTCATATGAACAATTTTTTTTTAAATAAAAAAATATTACATGTCACTAAATAAAAGCATTGAGGAGGTGCCAACCCGTGTGCAAAGTTATTTACATGTTTATCAAAATGTCAATTAGGTCCCTAATATCCTCCATAGAATATAGAAGATGATACATAATTAAAAAGATTCAGAGTCTGGAACCACCTGTTTCTAACCCTATCTATATCATCCTCCACTCCCCTCAAAAACCCTCACGTTTTTTTCTTTCTACGGAATCTAAAGAACAGAAAGGAAAATGAGGGGCCCAAATATTTTTTCCCACCACAAATACCCATCCAGGCGCATATTTCATCTCTTATTATACCAGCCATAACCCAACTAATCACAAGGAAACCATGAGCCATGGTCCAAAGGTTGTATGCAATTGAACACTCAAGAAAATATGATTACAACTCTCCTCAGCCCAACATAATATTTTTCTTTTGAGAGTAGTCTAATCTAACAAAATTTAGCAGCACTAGAATGAGAATTTCACAATTCTCAAGTATGCCATGGCGTTTCTTGAGCATGCGCAGTCTTTCTGCCCATATACCATAATTCTGTCACCCACTAGGTTGTCTTTCTTTATCCAGTTTGTATAATTTAGTTTTGTTTTTAAACATAAAAGCCCTTCCCAATTGTCAAGATACTAAAAGTTTTACCAAGTAATAGTTATGAAACAAAAAGGGGATTAAAAGTAGAAATACCTATTCTATTCCCTAAGACATATTTACCCGAAAAGGGTTGGAGATACATGAAAAGTTTTACCAAGTAATAGTTATGAAACAAAAAAGGGATTAAAAGTAGAAATACCAATTCCATTCCCTAAGACAGATTTACCCGAAAAGAGTTGGAGATATATGAATTTAGAATTTGCTAAGCTAAGTAGTATTATTCCAACATTTTATGAAATCTCAACAAAGTTTCTATGTCATCTTTGACAGTCTGAAGTCCAAGAAATAGAAAGAGAATTTTGAAAGAGCCAAAAAATCACTGCAGTATCTATTTATAACGATCTGGTGGGATCTTTATGCAAGTCAAAAGATGCACGGCATTTTTGTCTAATTGTTCATTACTTAACTGCAATGTACACACGTGCTCTGATGACAAGAGGAAGTGATCTCCGAGGATCCATCATTTCCCTTAACAACCGCCGAAGCAGGAAAGGAAGGTCTTGCATTCTCTGTCAAAAAGATAAACCATCCATCAGATAAGCAATTCACAATGAATTCACTATAGCCCCTCAGGCACGAATGTGATCATGATTCATGAAAGAGATTTAAATTGCTTTTATCATTATTTTTTTGCTGGTCAATGATGTTATACCATCATTGATGAGAGAGTTATTGTGAATACCAAACCCGCTTGATTTGGAAATTTTAACTCCAAGACTAGCTACTGATAAATTCTTCAAGAGTGAAAGAAAGAAGTAAATGATTTTTCTTTTTTTGAAAAACAAATGAAGAAAAAGGCATAATAGGAGCTTCAAGACCAAGAGTTAAATAAATTTTCATATAACTTGCTGAGTTTTATGAACAAACCAAATAACTAAACATGAGGGAGGGGAAGGATAGAGAATCAGCCTCGGTCAACAATTAACAATATCCCTTAACTAAACTTCCAGGCTGCATTTAGAAGATATTATAGCAGGTGCATATTAGATTGTTGAGGTAGTTCAAAAATCCGTCTGCTACATTGCAAAAAGGGCAATCATCATAATTGAATAACTTCTTCTATGTCAATACATGTTTTAGTCAGACTATTGTGTTGATTTATTATAATGTGGCTGGTCAGGCAAACAAACCAAATGCAACCTAGCTCATGAATACATCTAGTCGTCTCTCTTAAGGAGGACCTACAAGACTTTATGTTGTGTAAATAATATAACTGCATACTTCTCATACACAAATAGTAAGACCATGGTGCCATACTAATAATATATTTCCTTTTCCAGTAACAAAATGGTAAAAATTATAAAGACTTAAAGTTATCAAATTGGATCAACAAAACTCTCGAAACTGAGTGGGAGAAGTGGCACTTCTGTACTCCAGCACTTCAGGCAACATCAAATTTTGTGATCCAAGTTCTACTCATTCGATTATTTTTTTATTTTTCTTCTTTTTTTGCATATTATAGCTACAAAGCAGATAAAAAATGGTATAATACATTATTTATACTCTACAGGCCCTCATGCAGAAGTCTGCTAGTTTGCAAGCATGGACCAAAGACAAACTAGTCTACCTTGTTGTAGAATTAATTACATAAATAGTTCAATTTAAATACTAGACCTCTGGCTTTAATATCATGTTAAATAATATGCTGGACTAGTTTTTCATAGACTTAAGCTGATTAAAAAAAATTCTATAGCTTGTATTATTAACAATAACAAAAAGCTAAAAGATGGTAGGTGGTAGGAGTTATAAAAAATTAAAGCACCAAAGAAAGAAAGAAAAAAGATACAAACTACAGTTCACTATTTGGCCTATTATAAAAATTATTCTAGCCACAAAAACAGTTTATTATTTCTCTCTTTTCAATGTTTTCTTGAAATTCCACCCCCCTTCTCCTTTTGTTGACCTTGCTCCACTCAGAAGTAGCATTTGTTCATACCATACAACTTGTTCTTTTACCTACCACCCCCTTCTCCTCCCACTGATCTTGCTCCACTCCGAAGTAGCATTTGTTCATACCATGCGACTTCTTCTTTCACCTCCCACCCAGCTATGACTAACCAAAAAGTAGAAACTATTTTTGGCATGACCTAAGACAACCAAAATTTGAAGATTCAGCCATCTCCAGAGTTGATTATATAAAGTTCCTGATAGTAACAATCTCTACTAACAAGTCCAATACATGATCCATACATATAATCCTAACTTGGAACATGCTTCCTAAAATTCAGAGAATAATTTGCAAGGGTAGATAAAAGTAAGGGGTAACAAATAACAGAGGCATAAAATCAAATCTCGTCCTTTACAGCATTGACTTTAAATGGACCCTTATGGGCTTCTAAAATATATTTAAGACCATGGCTAATAACCCAGCTAGTCCTATACACATGACATGCAATTAGGAAAAGAATTGCAACAGCTAAATGAATATTTTTGCATTATCAATCAACCATAAACCCTGGGTCACTGTAGGTAATCCTTCCTGGAAAGTGGAAAATTCCGCATATTTTAATCAATTAAAGTTGGGGTTGTTCCCACAGTAAAACTTTAATAAAGCTGACACAAAATATCCTGATTTATTGTAATTTCATGAGGAAGAGCACAGTTTCGTTATGATCAACTCCAGCATACGAAAATTCGAAAGTTGGTGATGTTATGTGCAACTGATGACTTCCTAGAAAGAGACCAAAGTCCTAACAGCCCCACAAAATAGTGATTCTGTAAATTAGGATCCTAATACTTATTTTTGAAATAAAGGATCCTAATACTTATAGATACAAATGGTCAAATGGGAGCAAAAATTTTCAAGATTTTGTGGTACATTTTAAATAGTGTTCAATTGATTATGTACTAATCAATATTTGGTCTAAAGTTAACACAAAAAATTGTATACATTTTGTTACTCTTGTCCATGTTACTTCAGTTATTTTCCACTCTCACTTCCTTTCTTTCTTTATGAGTTTGGAAATCATAAGTTTGAGATCCATACCCATGAATCAAAAGGTTCAAGCAGTCAACTTTGAATTCTATTATTAAATCAATGTTCCATACCTGAATCAGACTGCTTCTATGTCTTCCAAAATAACGGTTATAGGTTTCAACTTTTCCCAAAACCTCAGCAACTGCAGGATTATGACGCTCCCTTAATGAAGACTCATTGGGAACCAACAACGTAATTGGACGACGACACAATGGGCATTTACATGGCTGAAAAGTATATTCATGTTGCCAAACCAGCATAATACAATTTCCTAGAAAAGAAAACAAAAAAAAAAAATGAATTATCTTACAGAAAGATTATGATTCAGAGGAGCAAAGATGCCCCTAATTTTCAAGGTGATATACTTACCACATATTACACCTACTCCCACTGATTTAAATATGTGTGCATAATCCAAATTCTAATGCAGTCAATAGAGTCTATTTTACCATGCATTACGCCGGCATCACTGATACGTTTCAAGGTTCTTCATATTACTCAGAACTACTATTTGTAATTGAAGATTCCAGGACAGCATAATACTCAAAATTGTAAACATTAGAAGTCTGCTATAAATGGGAAGAAAAACACTTGAAAAGCTGATATAAGCTGATGCTACAGCTGTAGAGCACAGACAATGGGTTTGCTGGCTTCCTTGTTTTTGCTGGCTTCCTTGTTTCTAAATATTTTCACACACTGTTCACCTACAACAGTTTTTGAAGCTCTTACTTAGACTCTCTTAAAATGTTGGCTCTCTCATCGCACAGAGAGACAAGAAAGAAGAACAATAACAAAGAAAAGAGAACATTTCGAGTTTTGAATTTGCCATACATCAATAAGTACTCCAGAAAATTAACAAACATATGGGGAAATTGTTCAAGTAATATTGCTTATATAACTTGAGGCTTGCATTGTAGTTTAATTTTTATTTCGAACTTCCAAAGAGTAAAGAGAAAGATCAATGGACAATCTGAAGAAGATTTATCTCCTGATATTGGCAAATGACATCTCGCGCATGATAAGATTCATCAGAATCACCAAACAATCAAAAATTGAGAATGTTTCACAAAACACAGACTCTTTGTTTGTGGCAAGAAGCAAAATAGCAAACTCTGTTTGGAAAGACATATTTCAGTCCGCTATTTTTTCCCACAAGTTGCATATGACAATGCAAAATGGTTTTGCTTAAAACTATTCAGGTAGGGACAGCTCTCCCAAAAAAAAAAAAACCCAAGAGTGTTTTACGAACAATTCATGCCCTTTTTTTAGATCTTTCTCGAATCTCAACGCTTTCATCAGGGTAGGTATTGGCATGCCAGATTTTAAATACAATAAATTAAATGTTAACAGATTGTAAATATATGAAAAATTCAGTATATG